TAAAAGTATAAGGCAACGGCTCCATCAGGTGGGGGCGTTCAACAGTGCCGAAGTACAACTGCCGATAAAGGCAGGAAAATTTCAGAATAAATTAAACGCATTTTTTAAATAGCGAGAAATTACTGACGCTAATTATCAAAGAAAATCACTCCGATTTTGGCGCCAAAACGTCTAAATTGCAAATTTTCTCTCCCAAAATCTTTAAGTGCCACTTAAGATTGTAAACGTTCGCCGTTTAATTTTTGATTGCCGCACTTATTATGTGGAAATTTGTTCATATTTTCGGCACTATTGAACAAAGTTTTCATTTTCGGCACTGTTGAACTATTTTGTTTCGGCACTGTTGTACTGCCCCAATCAGGTGAAGCCTAAATTGTATGCAAAGAAAGTGAATTAAGTGGCTGATCGCAGGTTACAGGAAAAACAGTCCCCACGAATATAGTGTAAATATGCGAGAATTTCAATGTAAACGTATAAAGGTTAGTGCGAGACAAATACCGATTTGCTGTTCATATGAATTCTCGACTAATTTGTCCGAATCTTAGCTTGATTTTAGATATTTAAGCTAAATCCAATTTGGACTATGAAACTATTCAAGGGAAACGTTAGTGGCTAATGAAACGAAGAATTGTTTATCAGTTTTCCGTTTTTTTTTGCACTGGAAGTACTTCAAATATATTTCAAAGGGTCTGCCGGGATCACACTTTTACACGAGCTTTTGAATGGGACATCCAAAATGATGAGAACATACTTCTGAACGAGTAACCTATAGTGTAGTTAGTATTGTGAAATGATGATTAATCATAATTCGTAATTATATTTTCATGTTCTAAAGTAGTTGTTGTTGTTGAATAGAGTTTACAGCTATTTTTGATGGGATTGCTCCGTGAGTTCTTTGTAATTTCCTTCTTTAGTTTCTGCAGCCACTGCAATCAGATTCAATTAACCAGCTGCAGATGTTAGCTTCTGAAATGTTCACATCGACATAATTCCATCTCATCTTTTAAATTCTGTTTTTCAAGCCCATCAATCTAGTGAAATCCACGAATTCAGTCTGTTTATTGTTCTACAAGTTCTAAAAGTGCATTCTCTTGCATTTTCTGTTCTCGTTTTATTTTGAAAATCTCGGATCTTCCAACATTGAAATTTTAGTTGTTAAAATTTGATAAGACAATGAGACAATCTTTAGGTCATCAGCGAACAAGAAAGGTTCGATAAATTCAAGTACATTCGGCAAATCATTTTTGGAAATACAAAACAAGTGGTCCTAGTAGAGAGCCCTGTGGTACACAGCTTATCACTGCCAGTACACTGGAACATATGTAACCTACACGAACAAATTGCATCCGACCATAAAGATAGTCATGTAAACTTTCAATTAAGGATCCCTCTACGCCTATTTGACTAATGGCTAAGTTCTTATGGGGCACTTTATCAAACGCCTTCGAAAAGTCTATGTAGAAAGCGATGACCTCGCAAGATGAGAATCTTGAGGAAACTTAGCATGTTTGTGACTACTGAACGTTTCTTGACAAAACCATGCTGGCTTGAGTGTAAGTGCTCTGCAAAGTGCTTGTACAAACCATTATAGATACACTATTCATAAACTTTACTCATAATATTTAGGAGCGATACAGGTCGGTAGTTGTCTACTTTACGCTTATCTCCTTTTAAACTGGTGTCATCGCTGCCAGTTTCCATCTGATTGGTAATTTCCTGATGGGCTTTATATTTCCAAAAGTTTTGTTCAGAGTGACTGCCATTTGCCTACCGGTTTTGTTGAAAAAGATTGGTGGAAGCGCGTCCGGCCCTCAAGCTTTTTGCGGATCTAATGTTGCTATTAGTTCGTGAAGAGTCTCTACCGAGACACTGAAATTCGTCAATGTTGGCTTTTTCTATTGTAATGTCTTCAATTCGAAATGATTCTTTTGGTGAGAAATCAGAAAAAATTCATTCTACATGTTTACTTTTCATGTTAATTATTGCTACTTATTGCATCTTTATTTATTACTTTGAGTAAATTACAAAATTTGATAAAATTTTTGAGGTGTTTAAAAATCAGAGTTGTGTCTTTGTTCCATAAGATTTTGCTGATGTCTAAGTCTGTCGATTTCAGCAGCTTCAGTTACAATCGCTCTTAATTTATCAACGTGTCTTTTCTGTAGATTGTAGGTTTTGCGAGAAGTAATTGATGTTGTGTTTGTAGTTATTATTAAGTTAGATGTGCTTGGAGAAATCCATGGAGAGAGTTTGTTTATGCCTTGTTCTTCATGGAACATACACCCCTATATCATCAACAAAAAACTGATACAATTCTTCACTCATTTTATCTATGTTTGTCTAACAACTGGGCACATTAGGTGCTAATTCTATCATCCTGCTTAGTTGGTCATAGCCAGCATTGTCGAAGCTTCTGTAGTTCTCTATGACCGGCTTTATAATAATGTGCTGCCATTCCGCCTAAAGTTGTATTGCATTGTGATCTGAGCAATCATAGATTTGAAAAACCAATTGGTTTTTCTCAGCATGGACAAGTATTTTCGATAGAATGCATCATCAAGCAGGTTATTGGAACATATATTAAACTCAACGCTTGTTTTAATATTTTTTCCTCAAATAGGTCGACATACTTAATCAGAAAGATCATTAGTACTGAGCAACCGGTGGCACCTAAAGTTAGCTTTGGAAAATCAATACTATCTGCTGAATTCTATCTGGTTTTAAGTAGCGTCTACTTGAAATAAGGCTTCTGACGCCGCGATATTTCCGCTCGACTCTTGACTGAGCTCTGTGAAACTCGCAGCCCTCGCTTGAAGAATTTCATTCGATACACTTGCTCTAGCACGGTTTTCGTCCCAATCAGTAATACCCAGAACAAAAACGCTAATTTTGGTTCTACGGCAGACGAAGTCTGCAAGTTCGATCAAGTCTTGGGATGTTTTTTAGGGTGTAGTAGAAGGCTCGAACCCGTTGAATAGATCGTTGCCTCCATGACAAAGAATGATGTTATCGAAACGTTCTCCGCGGGGATAAAGTCGTATGCGGGCCTTATACCGGCACCAGGGAGTGACAGGATTTTGAGGCTAGCAGCTTCCAAAAACCCGGCCTGCGATTCTGCTATCAATGAGTAATTCGTCGCAGCAGCTTTGTTGAAAATATGAAACCTCGACCGTCTAGGCATACAACGAACTTGTCTCTAGTAGTAGTATTGTAGAGGCTGCTTTACTGCTCCATGTAGAGCTTACAAATTCGTAGTTTTCAATGAAATGAATCGTTAGATGTTTCAGTTGTTTCCTCAAATCAATTGGGTTTTGAAATATATGTTGGGCAATCAGTGTAAATAGGCCAAATCTATAGAAGAAATTCTGTCCCTATATTTGTTTTTTCGGTTTGTGGTATAAAACTAGATAATTTGAACCATGGAGGTTCCTGCGTAAGCGGCGACTCACAATTTTTCTTCGAAAAAAGTTATAGCCTTCAGAAAGGACAAAGTTTTGAAAATTTGTCCGTTTTTGGAATTTTTTTCTCGTAAACTACCCTGCCAAATCTTAGGATAAGTGTTCAATGGAGAAATTTGGTTTAGGGAATCTTATTTTCTTAAGCGGCCCCGACCTATTTTCTTGGAGGAAAAAATTAAGGATACCGGAAAGTCACGTTTTTGAAATTGAAACGTTTTTTAGAAACGTTTTGGGTTCTTTAAACTACCCTATCAAATCAGAGAGGAAGGGGGCAATCGGAAGAACCGATTGCGAGAATCCTTCCTGCAAAAACGGGCGATTCGTTAATTTTTGAAAAAATAGTGTTATGTCCTGGTAATTTACTTGTAGTAGAGAAACAACAAGTTTTGGGCAAAGTCAATTTTTGAAAATTATGAAATTACCGCAGTCATCCGGCATCCTTATAGCAATTTCAAAAAATACAAAAAAAAGTACAAAAAGTTTTGTTCACCTACTTTAAACGTTATTTCTCATTTATGGTTTTTCAGGGTCGCTGAACATAGGTCGCGATGATTTTTTTTTCGTTTCCAGGAAAATTCGTAAGTTTGTTCAGGCTCAAATTGAATTTTTCTTTTCAAATTTAGTTCTTTTCCTTCGTTACGGGAAGGGAAACTGCATTATCGAACAGCAAAAGTGAAAAGGTCACGAAAACGTAATCGAGTTCTAGTTTCGAAAGTGGAGTTTAATTTTCAGATTTTAGGGCCTGTTTTTTTTCTGTTAATTTACGTTCTGTGACTCTTTTCCAACTGTTTGTTTTTGTTGTTTCTCAAGTGGCGCGAAGCTTCGCTCAGTCTCTATTTTTTATGCGTTGGTCTATGCTGACTCGTTTGGTTTTCATTTCAGATGCTTCATGTGTGCTAAATGTGTATTTTGACTACAACTGCCGCTGAAATGTGAGTATGATCATTTTTGTCAAATCAGGTCATTTTTGTTTGATTTTAATTTTAAGTCGGTGATCAAAATATTTAGAACGCATAGAAACAAACGTTCAAAACGCATAGAAACAAAAGTGCAAAATCGCTGAGCTGGTTTTCATTGCGTTATATATGCCCTCTAAATTTTTTCTTACTGGGGGCGCTAGCTCCTAAATATAACCAGCTTTTTCTTTCCCTGCCGTAAATTTCTATTTCCTGTTTCCTTATTCCTCATAATCGTAGTAATAGACAGGAGAGTAAGCTTGGTACGCGTTTATGCGTTGAGGTTAGACTTGCATTGAACAGATAAGCAAACGACAGGAGTATTAGAATATATGTGCCACAGATGCAAGCTCGCATTTGGTTCACTTTTGCATAGCAACCGTAACTAAGGACGATCTGACAAGCTATAAAAGGAGTTGAATAAAGCGACTTGCCATTATTTTATATTGAACAAAACAAGCGGTTGAGCAGTAGTAGCAAATATCTAGCTAGCTATCTTGTTTTGCATTCATTTGCGCACTGTCCAATTTTGTGGCTTGAGATTTTTGCAACTAATGAACTGCGTTTGACGCATTCGATTAAATCACGGTGGCTGTAACAGTAACCTCTGTGAGCACTCTCACATTCTTCAAGGGCGATCCCCACCAAAGCTCTTCGGTGCTCAACACCTCATTGAAACTCAACATTGCTCATCCTTGGTAAGTCTCGGTGCTTTAATAAATAAAACTGATCAATTCTATTTCGCAAAGGGAATAAGTTTTTACATGCTGGTATCTAATGCTTTCTTTCGGATACAGCGGGGACTATAATAAGAGAAACGAACCTAAATCAGGCATTTTTCTTCCTTAGCTTATCAACTATTCGACGTGAATTCAAATGTTCGTGCCTTGTAAGGTGTCATTTTTGTTTAAACATAGCCCATCGATGCATCGGAACATGGATTTTTTTTTACTTCTCTTTGATAATGAAGTTTTGAATCTGCATTGCCTGGATGTCCATTTTATTAAGTGGCTCAAGTATCGGGTGGGCGTTAATTTATGCTGAAAGTTCTGAGCGCACCTATTGTTTCAAAATGTATATAAATATAATTTTTTCATCAAGAAGCAGATGTTTTTTTTTTTCAGTTCAATGATTACGGTTGCGATGAGCAAGCGTTATCAAATTTGAATTTAGAATTTTTATTAGTTAACAACTAATTTAACAAAAGCAGTTGAATTAGTTAGCTCGGCTGTTAGTCACAGCGAAAGGTAGCTGATAGCAGCAGAACAGAGCCTGTCAACAGATTTTTTCTGAGAATGTCTGCCTTTTAAATGACCACTACATTTGAAATTTTACTGTTGGTTGGAAATCTACTTTTATGCCTTTGTTCTCAAAATTTGTGCTTTTGTTCTCTAAATTTATTTTGTGCTTACGGGAAGGTAGGTGGGGGGGGGGGAATTATGAATTTATTTATTTTTTTTCAAAATTATATTTTCAATTTATTTTAATATATAATTTTTTCTAATCAACTTGCGTCCTGTTTTTGGGCTAGCTGCCGTCAGGGGTGTTCAATTACCGATACACGATTATATTGTTGCCCAACAATAGATTATCTATATCTTTTTGAGAGAAAAGATATATAATCTCGATAATCTTTCGAAATATCTTAGCCAAAAAAAAAGATTTTTGTTCGAAAAATTGGTTTTTTTATTATGCTGTTTTTGGTCTGGAACTGAAAGTGGTCGCTAAACCCTGATAAAAGTTTTTAAAAGCGTTAAAAAAAAAACAGACGCTGTCAGCAAAACGTGTAAAACCCCATTCAAAACGCTTGTTTTACCAATGAAACTGGATTTGTTTCACTTTGCTCCGGTTTTTCTGAACAAAAAGCAGTTTTGTCGATAATCTTTTTCTGCCGGAAGAGCAAAAAAGATTATCGCGCAATATTTCGATAAGATTATATATCTTTCAGAAGCAACAATAGATTATCGATATATATCTATCGACAATAATCTAGTGATACAATAATCTTTTGAACACCCCTGGCTGCCGTGCCATTTTTTTGTTGTATCGCAAGCTACGCTTCGCTTCTGTGTATAATAATCACATGCGTGCGATGAGCAAGTGTTATCAAACTGGAATATAGACTTTTTATTCGTGTTAATAACTTGCTTAACAAAATCACTTGAATCAGCCGATTTAATTCACGTGCAAATTTAAATTAAACTACCAGTCCACTGTTACTTCTGACAGTTCTTTTAAGAAGTTAAGTCTTAAAATTTTGATGACAAAAAACTCCGTTTCAAACAATTTTTCGGACTATCGTTAGTCTGATTGTTTTTTTCGGCTTAGTTGCCGCAGCACGGAATTTTCTTGTTTTACAAAATTTTACAGAAAAAATGATAACTTGGCTTGGAGTCAAACTTGATATGCTTTTCAGGCACACATGGGTTTTGAGCAAAATACTACGCCTGAGGTAGGGTAGTGAAGGTATTGTGCTCGAATCAGGCCAGAACTTTTTTTTACTTCAAAGGGAAATTTTCCGTTAGGAAAAATTGTCGACCTGTTGTGTGCTTTATTTGGTCGGCCTACTTGCCTTGTTGCGGATTGCTCGCCTCGAGTAAGTGACCTAGTTAAGCGTTGTTTTGAAGGAAAAGTAGAGTTTACACTTGTGTGTTTGCGGAGTGGGAGCGTAAAATTTTAGAATTTCAATTGACAACAATTTTGCTCAACCGGGAGTCTTATCAACTTTTGACGTCTTAGTTGCCGATCAGTTTTTGTGTGTGAACACTTATGAAAGCCCGTTTTTGAGTTTGTGGACGTGTTTTTGTCAAATTGAACTTAATTCCAGACAAATTTCTTAGAATTTTGTAGAAATGGTTTTTTCGAAATCTAATTTTTTTTTTTAAATTAGTGGCTTTTGTATCATTTTCTGTCTGCTAGCTCGCAATGCTATGTGTGTGTATGGTGTGTGTTTGTGTGTGTGGGGCATCGCAAGTGGCGCGAGGTGCCGCTTCTCTTCTGTGTAAAAACACATGTTTAAACACAAGCCAGCTTGCGAGCGTAGTATAACCTTTTTTAAACCCGCAAATAAATTTGTTCATTAAAAGTGTTCATTTTATGGTGGCACTTCTGCTGTAATCGCGATCTGCAGCATTGGAAATTTTATAGCATCTGTTCTCTGCTTAATTAGTTGCTAGTGTTTGTGATTTGTTAAGCGTCCATGGTTAGTGCTTGAGACTTAAGCTCTAGGTCGCAGATGGAAACCCAGGCGTAGCCGAATTTTTACTAATTCGGGGCTAATTTCAACGTTTTTTTTTGCACTTTTTAGAGCTGATTTTTGTGTTCTCGCTCGTGTTTGCAAAGCAAAGATTCGTCACTATGTAGAAGATGATTTTTATACTCAAGTTTAGTGAAAACAGAAATTGAATTGTTAGTCATCAAGATCAAAAGGAGTTTGATTCGACTGACACAAAATTTTTGAAGTATATTTTTTGGGACCAGCGTTTTTTGAGCTATCTTGAAAAGCACGAAACAAGCCACTATGTTATAGCTAATTTCTGATCTTCGCAATTGGTCGTTAGAAAACAAGTACAGAGGGTTGGTAACTTTAAGTAGACGAATGAATCGATAACAGTTGTCTCCACTAATATATTTTTCGAAAATGTTTTTTTTTTCAGTTTCAATGCTAATGGATTTAGATACTTTTATTGTAGTTCTCCATAAACAGACCATGTTTGAAACATGCTCTGCCATTTGCACAGCAGCTGATCAGCGCACTCCCCTCAAAATAAGTAAATAATGGCGCCTTTAGAGAAATTTTAGGGTCCGTCAGCAAAAAAAATAGATATATCAATTTAGTGACTTTAATAGCCCTCTCCAAATACCAACGTGCAAGTGGCGCGAAAGTTCGTGAACGATTTTTAGTTTCGAAAGGGGAATTTAATTTTTAGATTTCCAGCGGAATAAAAAACATTATATATTGATCCAGTTTTCTCAAGTTGTTCATGCTATCAAGAAAGCGCCAATCGTAAATTGTTCTAAAAATTGAAAGTGCTTAAAGGGTATCTATTTTTTTCTTCGAAATCAGTGTTTTTTTGTTTACTTGCGCTCCTTTCTCTTTTCCAATCTTCGAATGGCTATGTTTTCTATCGACACTCGAATCATTGAAGTTAAGCTTGATTCAAGTTCAAGTGTGCAAAAGCAATTTAATGCATGGGTTTTTTTAATGTATTGCACTTCCCTTTTCATGTTGATCAGTAGGCATTTTTAGTCATTTCCATCTATATTTTCGATTAGCCGCAGATAAATTCAAGACGGAATTGGAGGGTATCCCATTTTGTTTCCGGCTAATTTTAGTGAAATCAAGTTGAAAGACTTTTAAACTTGTGTTATCAAAGGAACTATTGTAAAAAAAAAATTCGGTGGTGTTTGCGGTGAAATTTAGCTTTCGAAAAATATTTAAAAAATGAAGTGTTTTCAATTTTGAAGCGTCGCTAATCTTCGCTTAGTCCGAGTAAAAATTGTTGTTACTAAATCATCAAGGAGCATTACTTTGTCACCTTTAAGATAGCTGAAGTGCAGCTTGCATCATTGGTTAATGAAATTCTATGAAGCTTCAAGAATTCCTAAAAAACGTTGGAAATGTCCTAAAAAACGTATCGAAATCCTAAAAAAAGGTAGTAATTGATAAAGACTATAGCTCATTTCATAGCATGCGTTTTATCCGAACGGATTGTGGATTAGGAACCTTAAATCTGTTCAGTTTGGCAAAGGGCATTGAATAGTTAAGAAAACCGCAAAAGGCTCAAAATTCAAACTCCTGGTTTCAGTTATACATAACCATATTTTTTGAGTTTTCAGGTTTTCCTGAAGTAGCTTTATTAATGAATCTGATCTACACTAGCGTTGGCATTGGCTACTTTATTTTCACTTGAGTGTTTTTGCTTCAGGGCCGAAGAGAAAGATGTCTTGAACAGTCCTAGTAGTCCTGAATCTCATGAAAACGATTCCGTGAAAGGTTCAAGCAAGAGATCCCATGAGCCTGAAGTAAGTCAAAATATGTACTTTGTATGCAAATACGCTAAAATGTTTGTGAAAAATGGCTTTATGTTACTGTACGATTAAGTGAGCTTACAATTTTTTTTGTAGTGGGAAGCGGAGCCAGACTTGTATGGAATTCGAAGATCCGGAAGAGCCAGAACAAGAACAGCTCCATTTCAATTAGAGGTAAGATTTATCGAATTCACTCAACTTATAATAGCTGATAGGCTGTAAGTCGGGTTTTGAATACTGATCGTTCGCATATTATCCCTCGTTGTAGTGTGTAATTGGAATTGACTCACAGTGAACCACCTCATGATTAAAAACTTATCGTTCACATGCTTAAAAAAATTAACGAAAGTGAGAGTAGAAAATTTACGCTGAATAAATTGTTCGATTGCTTTCTGTCTCTATTTTCTGAAAAAAAAAATCGTTCATTTTGAACGTTTAACAATTTTGTTATCCCCCTCCCAAAGAGTCAGTTTGGAGTAAAAATGCTGTATGTTAAGGTTTTTCGAGCCAATTTTTTTATGGTTCTATACAACAGGAGTTGCACAAGCAAAAGAAACTCAGAAACTTTTTTGACCCAACAACTTCCTAATCAATATGTGAACTTCAAGAGTGAAAATAATTTCGGTAGTTTATACCTTTATTCATATCTACTCAACAATCCCCCTTTTCTTAAGAAGAGTATATTAGTCGATTTTTCGACCTAACAGAATGCAGAATATTTTGTGCTATAATGGTGGATGTTCGTTAGTAGATACCATAGGCGGGAGTGGAGGGTTGCTGAATTGATCCCTTTATTTTTATTATTTGAGAAAATTCGTTGAAGTGTAGAGCTCTAGAAATGACAAACAGAAATAAGGCATCGTTCAAATTACATTTCTTTGTAAAGCAAAAGCGGACGTTTTTTTAAAAATCAGTTATGAGAAAAAGCATTCTGGAATTATTTGTTTTGATTTGTTTTGCAATTACTTGCAGCTCTTTTGATTTATTGGGTAAATAGTAGTGCAGAAAGCAGTTCATATGTAAGAAAGTAATTAAGTTAAATTACGTGAGCTACTAATTCTTACTTTTTTTTTCAAATACCGAATGCCTAATCCTATTTTTTTCAAATACCGAGTGCCTAATGTTTGAGCATATCGGTACCTTAGGTTGACCGTGCGGTACATGCTGACAACTGCCTCCCATATAACAATGTTGCGTTCCTTAAATCTTATTTCAACAGCCTTTATCTGCATAACAAAAGAGCTATCTACACAAATATAGCTGAACCACATATATTGCAAATATATATAACAGTGGAGTTTTTTCTGGAAAGTGACGCGTTCAATAGAAACTTCCGGTTTACAAAACCCCGATGTAGGAACCTTAATTTTTGGGATTCCAGCAGATAGTCTATCGGCTGTACATTAATCCCCTCTGACCCTCAAAGTCTAACGATAACAAAGAGGTTATGCGAATCTTTAATGAGACTTTTTTTGATTTCAGACCGAGCAGAAGATTCCCCGCATTGCAACTTCTAAAAGCAAGGCTTCACGATCCAAATCTTCTGATGAAAGTGGGTCTGCATATGAGGAATCCAGTTCTGATGGAGAGTGTCTTAGCAGACATGCGAGAAAAGAAAAGCAAGCGAGGAAGAAAGCTAAAAAACATAAAAGCAAATCAAAGGAAAGGCGTAAGTCAAAAGGAAGTCGCCATAAGAAAAGTAAGAAACACAAAAGGGAACATGAAAGAAGGAAAAAACATTCCGAAAGCAGCGAAGAAGATCACGATGATGAGAGCTCCAATGAATCCAGCGAAGACCGAAGAACTTCCAGGCGAAGAGCGGCAAAAATCAAGTTGGTTCAATTTTTGATATCCTTAAAAATTCACGACATGTTTATGCAATCTAAAGAAAACAATTTTTTGGTAAAATTAGTTGATCTAAATGATTCCAATTTTAATTCACAAACGTGGAGATTATGTATCTATTAGAAGAGACGAAAGCGCATGAAAATACGATAGGAAAAATCTGATTATGCAAAAAATAAGTGGAAAATGTCTCGGTATATTTCAAATTCAAGTAGCGGAGATGATTTCAAATACAATTTTCAGTCATAAAATGTTTACCATAACCTTTGCAGAATTTTTTGTGTAACTTGGCTGAGTTTGTTAAATTACTTTTTTGAGTGTTTCAGAAGCTATAAAGAAGATGCTTATGACCATGATCTTAGTGAAAGTGACGAAGTCATGCCAGACCAGACCGCACGTTCGGTGGATTATGAAAACACTGACGGAATAGACCGTATTTTGGATTATCGAATCGACCAAATAGGAAGTTAGTGCAATTTACGTTCCAAAATGAACCGTCGGTCTTAAATCTGGTGTAGATGAACTGCGGTTGAATGAAAATTGGCTTTGTCCAGATAGGCTGATGTTTGGTTTTGGTTACTCTTTTTTAACGCCATGCTGTTTTTTTTGGATCTGTCGCAATTTGTGAATGGAACATTCGGAATATTCCAAAAATGATGGCTGCTTAATATTCCAAAAATGATGCGGAATATTCCAAAAATGAATGCGGAATTTTCCAAAAATGATGGCTCAAAGCAACCAAATACTTTGATTCGGTATTAGCTGCTTGAGTCAAAGAACAGTGTGCTGAAACTCATTGATGATTTTTCCAACCAGTTGTTTTACGTAAGCAGAAATAATCAAATATGCCCAGTCGTTCACTAAAGCGGATTTGCCATGCGTAATGGCTATTCGCTTAAGAAGATTCGTCGGAGTAAGTTTCAATCGAGTTGCAGAAATTGTTTTTGCGAATTTAAATTTTGAAGGGCCGCTACTCAAAAGTCTGAAAAAATGATTTTCAGGGTTTCATGGATGAAATTGCAATGAGGAATCACCAAGAATCATTCACTGGATCAATCTGAAGATCTGTTACAATTGTAAGATAAAGAAGTTTTGATTTATAATTGTTCTCTCCTACCAGCACAAGGATCAAAGCCTGGGTACAATTTACTCTTTATGTTTTTGTTACCAATTGCGTCAAATTTTTGTAAGCATCTTTATATATAGTATTCAAGTTTACTTGCAGCACACCATGGTGTTCTGCAGAGCACAAAAGTCAAAAATTGAAAACTATAGTCTGCGATAGTAGATCCTGCTGTCAGCTCAATGTTATGACGGAAATCTATTCTCATAGTTTCCAAGTTTACTTGCAGCACACCATGGTGTTCTGCAGAGTACAAAAGTCAAAAATTGAAAACGATAGTCTTCGATAGTAGATGCTGCTGTCAGCTCAATGTTATGACCGAAATATAGTCTCATCAAAGTGCACCGAACATTACTGCGACAAGAATTCGACAATCGAGTTCTATGCATTATTTTTGTGTTCAACAGATCTTAATCTTCTAAATGAGTTGGCTGAAAATTGTTAAGGAAAACCAAACAGATTCTCCCAGAAGATTCTGATAAATAGTCTTGAAAAACCATTTCTCCGTTTTATTCATTGGTATGTAAAATAACTGCCAGGTTTAGAAAACCGTTCCATTAAAAATATCAAGCATTGATTAGATTGCAAAATTTTCCATAATTGTAGTGTCTCACAGGTATTAACCTAACATAGTGTCATATACCAGTTTGATCAAATGATTGAGTTTGTTTTCGTGCGATATTGCTTCCAAATACCATAAGCACGGATTGTGCTCCTGTGCCACTATGCAGAAACTGGATAGAAGAGTAATTGGTTGTCTGAATCGAATTGAGTTGGCTCGATGCGAGGTTTTTCCCAATTTTCTGATCAGCACCCTGTGATTGTGAGCAGTGGGGCCTTCTTATTGTGGTTTTGAGCAACACTCATTCATATTCTGGTTAATTTACCATGTCAGCTAACGAGACTAATGGCGTAGCTTGAGCTTGCAACAGCATTAGTTCTGATATCTGGAAACGCTGCGCAATGCAAAAACCCCTACTCAGTCTCGGTTTTTTCTGCTATCAATGAGTTCTCTGTCCGTTTGTTGACTTTAATTTAATCTGTATCTCTTTGCAATCCAAAATTTTATAGAAGTTTGGCCTTGAATACCAAATTGAGTGGAGAAATAAAATAGTTTTCGTGCGACATCACTTTGAGATACCGTTAGCACGGACTGCGTTTCGGCTATGCCAGTCTGTGCTAAGATTTTTCTTAAAGGAACGGGAAAATGGAAAATGATTATCTTCTTTAAATGTGAATTGGTTTTGTTTGGTTTCTTCCATGCTAGTCGGTTCAACTCAGTCAGACCTCTTTTAGTTTGTTCCACGCAACTAGGCATCAATCATTTTCTTTCCCTTGAGCTGAAACTACTCAGCTCACAAGACACTATTATGGCTTGATGACTTTAACCAAAGCAATGTTTTTGATAGTTGGAACTGCCTTACAGCCCATAGATTACTCAATTTACTGCTGTTGTGAAATAGTTTTTGAGTTTCTTGATTGTTTTGGTTACGCGTACTAATGTTTATCACCAATAAATGTTGACAACATCAAACACAATTGACGCTGGCAATTCTTGAATCCTTATGATGCAAGATCAGAGTACGCATTAAAAGAAATCGCCTTGCTTGCTCTCAGCACGAGAGTTTCCTCTCGATTTGCGGCAAGCGATCACGCTGAAAAAGCAAGAACTTCCTCTCCTTGCTCACTTAAATGGAGAAAGTTCAGGTAATGCTATTTCAAATCATCTTACAGATCAGTTGCTTTCGATTCAGAGCATTGCAAGCTCGAAAACTGCTTATGGATAACCGGACTCAATTGACCGAATCGTTCATGAGAAATTCTTATTACTGTCGAAAAAGGATTGGTTGAGTTCGTGGTAATCTTTCAGTACAGTATGTTGAGGAATAAATTTGCACCAGAGTAGTGGTTAGAGGAAATGTTGGTTTTGGTAAGAGCATGTAATACACAGAAAAATCTGTTAATAGATCGTGTTGGTTCTATTTTTCATGTGCTAGTGTGCTTATCTCCTCCTTGAAACTGAGTCATATAAATATTGCGAGAGTTTTGGTTAGGTTTCGCAAGCTTCTTTTTGAGTTCGAGTTGAGTGGAATCAACCGTGGCGTTCTTCAGAGCAACTAAATCAAATGGTGAAATGGATTCTTTTGAAAATATTCTAACGATGCTGCTGTTAATTACGCTGTTTAAGATTTCGTTGGTTTGATTGGATTGATTTTCTGCTGTTAATGCGCGTTGGAGTTTGGTTTTTCAGTGTTTTGGGCAAGATCAAAATTTTGAGCAACTGGATAGCGCACATATATGTTCTCATTTAAGGTCAATCGAAGACCAGTGCATATTCAATGATTTGATCTTGGGATAGTATTTCACGGTTTACAAATGATGAAAAAAATGAAACATAAGATATGCTTTATTTATATTTTTGCTAAGAAATAATGATTTCCCTTGGCTAGATTTTTGAAGGCCAGGTCTTTCAGCAATTGAATTCAAAACTGCATTTTCTGAGCATACACTGGACTCGTTTTGATTCAGTTTATCTTTCGTTATGACGTAGAACGTACAAAAAATTGGTCTTTTGTTTGATTGAATTGCTCAGATTACAATTCGCTGTGCAAATTCCAGCTCTCAAATACATGGATTAACGGTAGTCAAGGAAAAATTTCCTGGTGTAAAGGACCTACATCCAAATGAAAACCTCAACCATTTTTCAGGAGTACCAGGCTGAGGCTTACCATGTAGTTTTTTCTATGCTTTATTTCTTTATTCAACAGATTTCAATGATGTTGGCAATTTTAAGGAAAACTACGCTTAAATTTGCCAGAAACTTATGATATGTAGACTTGACAAACCGTATTTCCATTTTATATATTCGTGCGTGAAATATTTGCAATGTTTGGAAACCATAACAATGAAAATATTATCAAGTATTGATTAGATTGCAAAACTATCCATCAGCAATCCGAAGATGTTGAGCTTTAATAGCGTGAAATACCCAAACAATCAAAAGATTGTTTTTGTGCGACATCGCTTTTAGATACCGTTAGCACGGACTGCGTCTCGGATATGCCATTCTGTGCTCAGCGTTTTCTTAAAGGAACGGGTAAGAGTGGAGAATGTTTATCTTCATTGCATGTGAATTCGCTCGGTTCGATTTTTTCCAAATTTTGAATTGAATTCTAGTGGTTTTGAGAAGTCAAACGTGATTTGTTTGGTTCCACGAAACCGGGCATCAATAGTTTTCGTTGAGCTGAAGTTCCTCTGATAGCAAGACACTTTTATGGCTTAGATGACTTACCACAGCAATGTTTTTGATTGTTGGAACTGCCTTACAGCCCATATATTATACTCAAGTTACTGCTGTTGTGAAAATTTTTTTGAGTTTCTTGATTGCTTTGGTTACGCTCAATAGATTTTTTACACCGATAAATATTGGCAACATCAAACACAATCGAGGTGGGCAATTCCTCTGAATCCTTATGATGCAAGATCAGAGTACGCATTTAAAGAAATCTCCTTGCATGTTCTAAGCACGCGAGTTTTCTTCTCGAATTGCCGTAAGCGACCACGCTGAAAAAGCAAGAACCTCCTCTCCTTGTTCACTTAAATGGAGAAAGCTCAGATAATGCTTTTTCAAATCATCTTACAGATCAGTTGCTTTCGATTCAGAGCATTGCAAGTTCGAAAACTGCTTATGGATAACCGGACTCAATTGACCGAATCGCTCAAGAGAAATTCTTATTACTGTCGAAAAAGGATTGGTTGAGTTCGTGGTAATCTTTCAGTACAGTATGTTGAGGAATAAATTTGCACCAGAGTAGTGGTTAGAGGAAATGTGGGTTTTGGTAAGAGCATGTAATACACAGAAAAATCTGTAAATAGATCGTGTTGGTTCTATTTTTCATGTGCTAGTGTGCTTATCTCCTCCTTGAAACTGAGTCATATAAATATTGCGAGAGTTTTGGTTAGGTTTCGCAAGCTTCTTTTTGAGTTCGAGTCGAGTGGAATCAACCGTGGCGTTCTTCAGAGCAACTGAATCAAATGGTGAAATGGACTCTTTTGAAAACATTCTAACGATGTTGCTGTTAATTACGCTGTTTAAGATTTCGTTGGTTTGATTGGATTGATTTTCTGCTGTTAATGCGCGTTGGAGTTTGATTTTTCAGTGTTTTGGGCAAGATCAAATTTTTGAGCAACTGGATAGCGCACATAAATGTTCTCATTTAAAGTCAATCGAGGACCAGTGCATATTCAATGATTTGATCTTGGGATAGTATTTCACGGTGTACAAATGATGAAAAAAAATAGTACATAAGATATGCTTAATTTATATTTTTGCTAAGAAATGA